TACAGGCATGTGCCATCATACCCAGTAACTATAGGATTCTGTGTACGTTGTTAATTTTCTCTCAGCATATTTATTGCTTGATTTATGGACTTGTAAGATTGTTATAGAGTCACAGGGTAATGTAAGCCTTGAACTGAAAGAGTATTTAGAATAAATTATGCAAAAACCCTGTTGTCTTTAGGGGCAAAGTATTTATAAATTTTGTTTGTGGTTATGTATATAACTTTAAAAATTAGTAATAAAGTCATTCATTCTTATTAATTCTGTGTGTGTGTGTGTGTGTGTGTGTCTGTCTGTCTCTCTGTCTGGTTTTTTTAAGACAGGGTCTCTCCCGTATATTTCAGGCTGGCCTTGAACTTACTATAAGACTTTTTAATGAATGCTGAACTTTTAATTGAATTATAATTATTCTTACTTTTTAAACAGCTCCATCTAAACTTGCTGTCTTTTTACTTTCAAGCTCAGCTGTTGAATATCTAGTCACCAGTTGGCCAGTATAACTATTTTTTTGTGACAAATAAGCAGTTAATTTTATTCTGCCATATCTCTGTCATAGAATTTCAGTAACTTTTAATTTGGTTAATTAAAACGAAAAAGTAGTAATAAAGTGAAATGAAGAAAATATAGTAATAGAGTAGAAAATGAAGATTGAAGTCTGGGCATATTGCTCAGGTTTAAAGCACTTACTTAGGAGGTCTGAGGTCCTGGGTGCAATTTCCGGCAGCCACCTCCAAGTACAAGTAAATGTTGCCTTACGTGTGTGGTGAATTGGATTCCCAAGTTTTCACTTCCTTTGTGTTATAAAATTATATACATTCTGTTGACTTTGCAACTTCTCAGTAGCCCCACAGGTGAGGGCCAGGTATTATTTTCCCTCCCTGTGGATGCCATTCTTGGCTCTCTGATTGACTTGGGCCAGTAGAACGTTGGTGAGCAGAGATCTTACATGTGCTCTTCTGATTTGACTACCCTCCTGATTGCTTCTAAACTACCATGAGAAGAGCATGCCAAGTATTCAGTAGCTCTTTCAGTGACTGGGGCCACTGTTAAAAGTACAGTGGTGTGGCTCTGAATACCATCTTAAATTTGCTAGCTAGTCTAGTCCTCTCTGTTCCAACCTAGATAGGTGGGTTCATAGTCAGTCTTCAGAGTCATGAGCATGACATAAATTGTGGAGTTATCTAGTTATCTCTGCTAGTTATCTAGGAGACAGTAAAATATAGTCAAATTTTGTCAATGCAAACCAGTACTTTCTTTACTTGAAACTCATTTTTAGGTTTTTTCTTTTGCAGTAACAGTGAATTCAAGCATGATTTATAGGGCAGAGAAGATAGAATAAAATGTTTCTAACAGAAAAGTAAACTAGGACAGCCAAACTAGACTAATTGCAATATGATTCCATAAGGAGTATTACTAGATTCTAAAATTACCAGCTAATTTTTAATGGTGGAACATTTCAAGTAAAAAGTGGTACTTCACTAAATCCAATTCATTCATCTACATATATTAGATTTAAAAAAAAAACTAATGTTCATTTTTCTTAAAACAATTCCTCAGGAAATTCCTCTAGTGATGTGGTTCTTTGCTTATAAATCTATAAAATACTGTAATTCTGTATAACTCAATCTCAGGTTTGTTCATGAAAGCCTAAAGATAAGAAATCTACTGAGAGAAACAGATTTGAAAAATAGGGCTGCAAGGTACAATATCCTTCTGATCAGGCTCCAGAGAGAGAGAAAAGGACAATTGGAAGCGAAGAGTTAGTCAGCATAAATCAAAGAGCCAGAAACTAATGGAAAGGAAAAAGTTAAGGCATATCCTGGTAAAAATTTCTGAAATCTAAGGATAAAATCTAAGGATAAAGAATAAATTTAAGATTTCTCACAATAGAATTTTGAAGTAAAGATGATAGTAGCCTAGACTAATATAGTGGTAGGAGAAATGGAGTTCATGGTAGTTTTGAAATATATTTAGATGTTTTGCAGAACTAACACAATGGTTGAGAAGTGAAGAAATTAAAAATGATTTCTAAAAAAAAAAAAAAATGATTTCTAGGCTTCTGGATTGAATAAATGTGGGTTGGTTGTAAATATCTTTGTAATTTTTTATGGAAGTTAAATTTACATACCATAAAATTTACCATTTTAAACCCTCCAGTTTGGGGTTCAGTATGTAATTCGATGGTAGAGTGGTTTGTCCTCAGGACTGACCCCTTTCTCCCATGTAATTCTGTGCATTTTCTTGTCCAGGCGTCACAGTTATGTAACACGTCACCCTAGAGGAAAACCGTGTGCTGTTCGGCACCTGTGCCTATCCCTCCTCCTCCTAATCCCTGCAAACCTCGGGTTTGCTTTCTGTCTCCCTGGCTCTGCCGATTCTGAAATTGTATATAAATAGGGTCATACAGCATGTAGCCTTTTGTGATTGTCTTGTTAGCATTCATTATGTTCATAAGATTTTTAACTAGTTAGCTTGAATCAAGTTTTAATTGTTTTTGTGACTAAATATCCCATTGTATATATGTGGTACATTTTTTATTTATCCATTTTTCAGTTACTGGGTTGTTTCTCCTTTTTGACTATTATAAATAATGTGACTATGAACATTCTTATTCAATGTTTTGCTTGAAAAACTGTTTTCATTTCTCTGAGGATATGCATACCCAGGAGAAGAAAGAAGGGGAAGGGTTGGCTCATGTGGTAATTCTGTGTTTAACTTTTTGAGGAACTACTAATCTATTTTACACAAAATTGGCACCTTCTTACATTCCTACCATCAATATATGCGGGTTGTAGTTTCTGTATATTTCATGAGCATTTTTGTCTTTAAAAAGTATACACATGCAAGTGAATATAAAATGGTCTCTCATTTTGTCTTTGATTTGCTTTATATAAGGATGGTTGAGCATCTTGTCATGTGCTTATGGGCCATTTGTACAGTGGTGCCTCAATTCACAAACTCAGTTCTCTCCATGATTCTGATTGCAAACCAAACTGAATGAGAACCAAATCAGATTTCCCCCTAAGGTCACATTCAGCCTAACCATTGAATTTGATTCAGTTCTCATCCAACTCGATTTGTGACCAGAATTGTGGAAAGAATCAAGTCTGTGAACTGAGATGCCACTGTATGTCTTCTTTGGAAAAATGTCTTCATATTCTTTGCCCATTTTTAAATTGTCTTTTTGTTGTTGAGAATGATTCTTTACATATTCTAGATGATATACCTTTATCAGATACATGATTTGCAAATATTTTCTCCCCTTCTGAGAGTTGTCATTTTACTCTCTTTATAGTGTCTTTTGGTACACAAAAGTTTTTAATTTCAGTGAAATCTAACTTATCCTTTGTTTTATTGCTCATTCTTTTGGTGTCATATCTAAGAGTCCATTTCTATTCTTTTGGTGCTCTAAATATCACTGTAAAGTTTTCTTTTGATATATCTTTAAGTTTACTAATTCTCTTTTCTGTAACTAAGCTGCCTATAATTCATGTATTAAAATTTTAATTTCATAATTTTTGTTTTCAAAATTTGAAAATTTTGTGTCTTGTTCCATACTTTGTATTTCTGATTTAAATGGCTTTTTAAATTTATGTTGTTCATGATATCGTATCTGTTATTGTTACTTAAGGGCCAGATACTATACATAACAAGTGTTTAAATTATTTGGTGATGTTATCCTCCTCCAGGAAGACTTATGCTTGCTTCAGTGGGCTCTAGCAATTCAGGATTGCCTTCATTTAATTTTGTGGGAGATACATAGTACTAGCCTTAGTCCCTGTAAGAGCCATTTTGGGTTTAGTTTGTATTTATTCCTTTGTACTTTGAATGAAAGCGCTGGGCTGTTCCTAGCTTTTCCTTCACACTTTGATGGGTCCTAGACTTTCATATTTTGTTCCCAGCTTTGTAAAACTCCTAGCTTCTTACCTTCTCCAATGCTGCTAAGTGAATAGTAGCCCCAAGTGCCAGACTTCAGTCTTTTCCTTACAATTCTTCATCATGCTCTTCATTCTCTATTGCCTCAGAAAGATTTTAAATATATTTATTCCAGTTTTTCTCAGGAAGAAGTTGGGCTGGAGTACATAATTTGCTATTACCAGCAGTGGAAGTCAACAGCTTGTATTAAATTTTTTAATGAACAGATTCACCTATAATAATGTCAGTCTTAGTTGTGTTTTAATGTGTTTTCGTGACGGAGGGAACAAAGAAACCCATAGTGTTACAATCATCCTACTAGCAACTGCACATTGTTAAATTAAATACTTAGGTTAGGTAAATACTGTCTTTCATTTTCTATCGGGAAAAACAATTAAGATTCTTACTCTAATTTTAACACTTACTATGTTTGTATGAGTCAGCTTTTCATCAAACACTCAAGAAATGCAATTTAAGAGAAGGAAGATTATTTTGGCTCACAATTTCTGAGGCTTCAGTCCATAGTCAGCTGGGTCTAAGGTAGAAACATGGTGAAAGGGCGTGGAAAAATTGCTCACCTTATGACAATCAGGATGCAGAGAGAAAATGGAAAGAGCTGGGTGGGGTCAAAAATACACCCTTGCAGGTCCTGCCCCTGGTGAGCTACTTCCTCCAACTAAGTCCTGCTTCCTGCCAGCACATTCAGCTGTGAACTCATCAGTGGATTAATCACAGTGATCAAATCCCCTTTCAGAATTCCCCAGTACTGAACACATGAGGCTTTGGGCAGATATTATAGCTGTAAACTGTAATAGTGTTGTACTGTAATTACATGGCTGCATTTCTCATGAGAAACCAAACCTCTTGAAGAGGAACTTTCCACTCATCCTCCATTTCCTAGTACTAGACCCAGATTTGAATATACAGTAGTGTATAAACAAATGCATATGTTGAAAAATACCTTATTTGGTTTCTCACAGTGAAAGTGTCTATACTATTCTGAACCACCCTAAAATACATATTTTAGTAAGGAAGGAAGACTCTTTCCTCAGCAGGTCTTTTATGACTTCCTCTTCTCTTAACAGGTGGCATCTCCACAGAAAGCGACTGTGCTTTTGAGCCAGACTACGCTGTTCCACCACTTCCAATGAGTGAAGGTATGCAGCACATTCGGATTATGGAGGGCATGTCTCGCTCTCTTCCATCCTCCCCCTTACTCACACATCAGTCTATCAGTGTTCGGCTCCAACCTGTGAAGAAGTTAACTGGTAAGGACTTTACCTGAATTCAGTATGTTGTAGAGGAAACCTAACAATATGGCACTTGAGGTTTATGTACATCTTTAAGATTTTTCTTCTTTGGCCTTCCTAATGTTACAGACTCTTGGAAAGTGGAGCTCCTACTGATTTTAATTTAGAAAATTAGAACATTACTCTGACAGATTGATATATTTATTTTCTAAGTGACCCATCTGGTGTGGACATATTTTTCTAGGTTTTCAGGAAGTTTCTAGTTTTGCCAGAATGCACTGTTGTTCTAATTTCATTTATCAGCTTGTTCTAGTCAGATTAACAGATGGAGACATTGTAATTTTAGAATAATAAGAGCTTGATAGTTCAGCAAAGGTACATCATTCATAGTTTTGTTTGGAATCATGAGTTTTTCATCTCTGTTTTTAAAAGCTGATTTAAATATTTTTTTCTCCATAGGACAATACTACAACTTCTTGTGATACTTACTGTGTAATTCATACGTTGTGAATTGCACTAACTTTAATATAATTTCATAGTATTTACTGCTTACTCACATCAGGTTGTTAGATGTGAAAACTGGGTATTTATTAAGTGATCTTTTGTCTTCCTGAGTGTGTCGTAGAAAAAATTTTAAAACATGTTGAAGAGTACTTATGTGTGAAAATATTTAAACCTAGGTCACTTTGTTAGATTTCTTCTAACATTATCAGTACTTCCTTGATGGCAGTCAGTTGGCTGGTATTTATGTTTTATGAAAGCATGACATTGAGGATATGCTGATTGTTTCCTGAGTGCCTGGTATTGAAGTAGGCAGTAAGGAGATTTGGTTATCATGATGACAGTTCAAAGGAAAATGAGAGGAGGAAAGTAGAATTTTTAGAGTATTTAAGTAGAATGAAACTTTCACCATTTATAATATTCATTAAAAGAATAGTATTTTGTTATTCTGTAATTCCTGAAAGCGTATGTTTGGCCTCTTTACATTGTTTATTGTATTTTAGGCATTTTCAAGTAACTAAATGAGTCAAAGTCTAATGTGGCTGGGGGTGTAGCTCAGTGGTATAGCTCTTGCCTAGCATGCGTGAGGCCCTGTGTTCAACCCCCTCCCCAACCTAGTAATGTAATAGTCTAAAGTACTGATTCTCTTTTAAAGTCCAAAGACTGTGATAGATTTGATGGAATTGGGAATGAATAAAATTTCATTGCTTAGATATCCTCCCTGTTTTTACAGGTAAAGGTACTGAGTATTAAAAGTGCAAAACACCCAAATCTGATAGCTGTCATATAATTACACTTTATTTACTGTGGGAAGTTCAGTTTTCTTGTATGTAAGCTGGTTGCCTGAGATACTGAAGGTACTACTTTCCTATTCCACTTGCCTATCACAATTTGAACTTCAGCTTAAATAGGCAGGCTTTACTGAATGATAGATGCATGTAATATAAAGTCAGTAACATTTCTGCTGTCACAGAGATGTTGTGGTAGAGCAGTAAGAATGGTGTAATTGACCAGCAGCATGTATGAACTGCTTCGTTTTACTTTCACAGTGTTTGAAGTGTACAGGACCTTTCAGACAGTTTGTCTTACTGAAGACTGTCCAAGCTATAAAAATTTAAAGACGGACAGTGCATTTTAAAATTTCTGAATGAAAGATATCTCTTTCTTGAAGGAAGTTGCCAAGAAAATGTTTCTGTAGCTGCTTTTCTTTCAAGTGAAGCACAGGATAACGATTGTGAAAATACACTGAAAGTTAAATAAAACCCATAGTCAGATTACTCATTTGTTATTCTTCCTTTCCAAATTGTGCTTTGTAATAAATAAGTGAAAGGAAAGTTGGCTGGTGAAAAATTAGCTGACTGAAAAGAAATATCCTCTGGGGCGTGGTTTTTACTTACCATTAGTTACCAAAGTACATTCATTTAATGGGGCTACTAGAGCTATACCTAACTAATTTTGTCATTTCTGTGCCTTTAAACTTCTAACTACCTCATATTCTTTATTTTCATATTACCCTTCAGACTGAATAAGTAGAATCAGAATAGGCAGCTTTTTAAAATTTCCTTTATGGCTTCTTAATATTTAGTCTTTAGTACATGTAAATTAGTTTATTCATTATTCTTTAGTACTTTTTACTTACTCATTCAACAGATACTTATTTAGGGCCCACTGTGTACCAAGTACTAGGTACAAGAGTAGCAAAAGAGTACTTGCATAAAACTGTCTTTGTTAAATATTAAGTACTCAGGAAGTTTTAGTTATGATTGTTAAAAGTTTTGTGACAGGTTTTTAAAAATTGCTTATAATATTAGCTATCAGTTGGAACTTCCAAGCTTTCTGTGTTTTCAGAATAATACTCTTAATTAGTATTGCAAAAATGAAAGTAATTTTCATTCCATCACATATGTGGCATATACTTATTAGCACATAAATTCTTCACATACATCTCCATTTGAGAGATGAGAAAACTAAGTAATAGAGAGATAAATTTCTTGCTAAAAGGAAAATGTGCTAAAGATAGTACAGCTAGGAAGCAGTCTCATTTTACTATCATGAAAATTGAGGTTTATAGGGAGTAATACCATACCCCCTATATCTGGTATATTATGATTTCTATAAAAAATTATTTTTATGTTCCAAGTAACAAAAGGTGCAGTCAGACGGTTTAAGTAGTAAAGGAAGCTTGCAGACCTGAGCTAGAGATTGAGTAGACCCCAGGGCTCATTTGGGTTAGTTGCTGTTGCTTGCACTGGGGACAGCACGGAAGCGAGCATGCAGAGACACTGTTGGACTTATTGTCTCCACACTCTTCTGCAGTACCCTTTGCGAGGGTTATTTTTTATATTACCATAGGCGCTCAGCTGTCTTAATCCATAGGTAATGAAGGAATGCCAATAGTTAATTCATTAATCCAACACTTTCTAAATTTTTACAGTTTACCAAGTGTAATGCACATAAACGTTGTCAAAGGAATTTTTGTGAAGAGTTTACAAATAGACTTGAACAAGTTTTAAAATATCTGTATGCTATATAATGCTGTTTATATAACAGAAAATTAATTATCAACAATCGGAATTGATATGTGTTATAAGTTACTATGTACACAAACATTCACCCATGTATACATTTGGTGGCAGTATGGAGATAAACAGTCTCTTACTTAGAGTGGGAGAGAGTTGGTCATTGTGGTGTATGCCTACAATCTCAGCTACTCAGGAGGCTGAGGCAGGAAGATAGCAAGTTGGAATGCAGGCTAAACCTGGACAACTTACAAGACCCTGGGTCAAAATGAAAGATTCAAAAAGAAGTGAGGATATAGCTCAGTAGTGGAGTGCTCCTGGGTTCGAGCCCCTCTACTGTGGGAGAAGGGGAGTAGAAGAAGGGGCTGTATAAGTTTATATATACTCTATTGACTCATGATTTTTTTTGTTGTTCTGGTATATACTCTTTTTTAATGTTTATGATGTTTACCATTTATAAAATCCAAAACCCGCTGAAGTGATATAACAAATTTTCTGTGTAATCTTGCTCGAATTTACCCTAAATATCTGTACTTCAGTTTCCTTGTTTCTAAAATAAGGACAATAATATCTGCCTCATATGACCAGTAAGAATTAGATGAGTGAGTACATGTAAAGCTCGTAAGGTGGTGTCTAACATGGAGTACATAGTCAAAATGTTAGCTACAATTATTTTATTTTCTAGAGAGATTTGGTTTTTGAATATCTATCAACTGTGTCCCACAGTGTATATGTTCTGAGGTTTTTGAAGGAACCTTCAAGTAATTTAAGTACGTTAAGTAAGTCCCTTTACTTTCTTGAGGAGTAATTTCAAATACTAACATCAAATAGATTATTATATAATCTCTTGGGAAAACTATTTAGGCAGCTGCTACTAAGAGCATTTGCTGCTAATAGATTGGAATGACCATATGGCAGTACAATTTGGATAGTAAATAAATTGCAATAACTGAACTGGGTTTGTTAAGTCTACATATTTTAGATGCTAACGATGGCCAAGATATTATTTTTGTCATGGATCAAATGGGAACAGTTACTTATTTCAGATACATTTTGGGCTGTTAGACCTGCTGGGCCCCCAAGGAAGTCAGTGCAGAAGAGGGCAACAGGGAACTATTGGTTTTTTTGTTGGTTTGTTTTTCATTTTTCTTCCGGTACCGGGAATCAAACTCAAGACCTTGCACTTGCCAGGCAGGCACTTTGCCGCTAAGCTAAATCCCCAGCCCCTCAGATACATTTTGGAAGTAGTACCTGGCCAGGCATGGTTGTCCACACACATCTGTAATGCAAGCACTCGGGAGGCTGAGGTATGAAGATTGCTCCAAGTTTTAGGCTGGCATGGGCTACACAGTGAGTTGAAGGCCAACCTGGAATACATGGTGAGATCCTGTCTCTTAAACACCAAGATAATAATAATAAATATTTAATGAAAGGACATAGTTTTATTCTACATGGCCTGATATATTTTAGTGTTCTCATGATCTGTTCACTGACATTTTTTTCTTACCTTGAAGTATTTGGAAATATACTGGGATTCAAGATGTACGGTTGTGAATATTATTATTAGAAAAAAATAGACACTTGCTGTGAAGGCTAGGATTTCCTAAACATGTATCCTAGTATATAATAAAGATGGACTGTTGCTTTTCCTCTTGTTTGTATTCTGGGTAAATGGAAACACAGTCTTCTTTTATTAGTATCACAAAAAAATTATTGAGAAGATAATTTAAAGATATAAGGGCCTACATATAATATTAGTCTACATAGTCTGATTTATTTAGGCATTCTCATACTCATGTAACTTACTTTAAGTTTATACTTTCTCGCATGAGTATCTTGTAACTTTAAGATAAACGTTGGAATTCAAGGCAAATTATAGTGGATTTAATTAGATTAAAATATGTAGTGAACATGTTTGGTCGTCTTGAGTTCCATCACTATTGTTAGATACCACATATTTTTGTAAGGTTAAATGAGGAAAAGTATATGAAGACTTTT